GGATCAGATGATTTGAAACCAATTGTCCCCTTTATTGCTGCCAGACTAATTGATTTACTCACATTATGGGACAAACAGTGCATGACTTTAAAAGTGCAAAAAGAGGCTAGATAAACGTAAGGAAAGTAGAAAAGGACAGAATGTAAAGAATGCATATTATTCCACATGACTCTTCAATTTGCTAACCATGTATTACCGTCAACAAAAGTGTTCATTAATCTCAAACAAAGCTCACTTCATCGACTTATTTTCTTGATAATCTGCTCTTTGGCTGATGCTGTTAAGTGAGAACCTTAAAAAGAGCCAAAGTGGGGAAATCATGGGGAAGAATGCAACACCAAGGTGACGACAATTGCGGTCATTCCTGCAGGACTCCAGATGTGCTAGGAATGCATACATGTACGCAATGATGGATTTTTTTTCATCCTGAATGGATTATTATGATTTCAGCTCACTTGAGAGGAATGGATGGAAAACTTGGAGTCACGTAATCATAACTTTTCACCTACAGAAACACCTCACAACTCACAGTTTCATCTGAAATATGTAGTATTTACATTAAAAGTCAAAGTTTGTAGAGGCACCTTTGCTTCTGAGTGCTATATCTGTATCTTGGACATGCAAAAACACATTCCCTAAAAGGGATCAAATCAGCTTTTATGGAGTTCAATACTTGACTTGAACAGAATTATTTAATGCTTTCTATTTACAATTAATTTCAACTTCACTACACTTCTGGGTGCACGTTACAGTCTCATGTTACCATATTCTCAGTATTTATGCATCAACAGTCAGCCGAATGATTTCCCGTCATGTGAAACAAGATCCTTTTTTGATGATGAGGGCTGAAATTCCAAGTATTTCATCATTTGCTTAGGATTTAATGAGAACAATAAGAACACTGTAAAGACCCAAATCAATCAGCCCAACACTCAATGTTGTGAAACCCAACATGATATTTTGTGTGGAATATGTAAATTACCTGAATAAAATGTTGATACATGACATTGTTAGTGAACATGATATTTTAACTGAGATAGAACTGGCTGTTAAAAACATTGATTCCCATGATCCTGTGCATATGTGCAATGTTAGCTGATGAGCACCTTAGCCATTTTCACATATGCATTCCTGACAAAAAGCTCCTGACATACTCCTTATATGGTTGTCAACACGCAGTGGGAGACTCATGAGGCAAGACATAGCTTAAAAAGAACAACATGACACTGGTGGACAAAACGACAGAGTCAGCTACACGGAGGTATGAAGAGAATATTTGTTTTTATATGAATGATATGTGTAAGTTTGACAAAATCACAATATCAACAAATGAGCAGGAGTAGAACAAACTGGTGGACATAAAATGTACTGTAATGTAATGTGTGTTTGATTTCATGCACAGAAATCGCAAAGGCCACATGCATACAATCTACAGTACGGTTGTGCATTGATCACATGGAATAAAAGTCACCACCTCCTCCCACTCACTCGAGGAGTTCTCCCGATTATATCCTGCTGTGTTCTCACATCGGCTTACTCAGACTTTCTGCAGAAAAAATACAAAAACTTTGGCCTTTTCGGTTCACACATGCAGCTCACCCAGAAGAATTCACAAGGTTTTTCAGGAGTTAAGTGTAAGTCTGAACGCACTATGTGTTAGTGTTTTTAAATGAATAAACCTTAGCAGCAGAAGTTACCATGTGCATTTAACTAGACCCTAGGGTTATTACACAACAGGCTACAGATAAATAAAGGAAGGGAATCTTTTTCTCCGGCTTGATGAAAACATAAATAAGTGAGGGAAACAGCTGGTGTTACTTTGAGCTACTGGTACCACTGTTATGAGAACATTGATAAACCTTCCTTAAACATAAGGAAAATGTTCATTCTTATATTGTTTTGATAGAGACGCTAAATACAACAACCAAACTTTGTATTCAATCATTATTTCACTCAATAAAGGGCAGCGTAACAACCTGTAAACCAGGCCTGCAGGTTTGCCACTTAATCCATTCATACACAACAAACAATATTGTCAATACATTCAGAGTTCCTATTCGCTATAACTTAGTTTCACTCAATCTATCTGCTGTTTTTTTATGTTTCACACCTGTTTGTACATGTCCCTCCTGAATTCAAAATACATCCAAAAAGAGAAATTGGCACAAGTTACTCTGAGGGTAGCTGATAGCTGAGCATTAAACTCAGTATTCAATACACCAATTAAAACATAGGGATGCTAAGTGAGAAAGTATTGATTGTTTACAACTTATTCTTCCACACATTCAGACAATCACACAACCCTGTAAACACAAATCATTTTCACTTCAAAGATTTGTAGTCCTGTTGCTGGCTGGCAGATGTAGTCACCCTCCTTTTAGCTGTTTGGTCTGAACTTAACGCTGAGGTCGACTTCTTTGTCAGCGAGTGCTGTATGTCCACATGACAGTCGCTAACTTTGTCTGTCGGCCGTTGGTACTTGACAGAGGGGATTTCAGAGCTTTTTCTGCAACAAACAGCTGCCTGTTGATGAAACTGAGAGAACCAGAAGGGCATCATCACTCCACAGATGCAGTATATTTAGCCATATCCAAATGTTTTGGACATACTGAGCATACACCCGAGGCAGCGGGATGCATTGTTTTTCAGGAGCAAAACATTGAATACATTTTGTCCCTTTAAAACGGTTCAAACCATCACTACGACAATGAATTTAGAATGAACCTCAGCCTCCATCATCTCCATAAAGACAGGAATAACAACATTGTACCACAACCTATATGCCTATAGTGGGTGAGATTTTAATTACAAAATGTATAATAAAAAAGATTTCTTCATGATGGACTAGATAAAAAGAGGTTTTTCAATAAAAGGAAAAGTTTCATCACTTTACTCAGATCTCTCAGCAGTATATCTGAAACAGCCTTACATGGTCTGGTATGACCGGTAGCTTATATACATACTATTAGCTAAAATTGGCTAATGTTTAAAACTGTACACAGCTGTGTAGCTTACATTACAAAGTAATTTATCCTTTTTATTATACTACGTTTTTAGCTTTTCCCATCTGTCATCCCAAAGTTACACAGACGGTGAACTGCAGACGCAGCTAGTGAGGCTGATGTGCTTATCAGAACATTTTTCTTTTTTCTTTATTTGCAGTAGAGTCAACTGACAGCTGAGTTTAAGGTCATCCAAATTTTAAAGTTAAAGGGAATTTTTGCCATTTTCTTGGGGGGGTTTCCAGTCATTGTCGGTTATTAATACCAAAAGCAATAAATTCTTTAGTTTGAGTCATAATGGCCAAAAAACTTCTCCTCACCTGCAGACAAAAAGCAAACAATTTGCATGAAAGCTCCTGTGAGGAACTCCTTTACATGTGTAAGTAGGGTTTTCAAACAATTGATCTCTTTCTGCTGTTTTTTCACAGTCAAATCTTTCAAATGTTTGCTGTGGAATAACTTAAAAGGCTGATTCTGTAGCGTGCCGTCTCATGTGACACCTAACCTCCAGCAGCGGTAACAGGCGATAACAATTATCATAAACAAATAGTCAATATTGTGGCTGATGGTCTGGTTTGCTTTTGTAGGTCATACAGAGCAGAGTCTTTTCCTTCACCAGTTAAAGTTAACTCCTTTAAGGTGGCTAATGTAAGATAACATTTAAAACTATAGTCAGTTGTGTAGTTTAATCTTTACTAAGTCAATTCACTCTTCTATTACACTGAGTTTCAAGCCCATCCCAACTGTCATCCCAAACATATAGACTTACTAATATAAGGTCAATCACTTAATCATTCAGTCTTTATTTGCATAGCACCAATTCATAACAAACGTTATCTCAGGACACTTGCTCACAATAATAAGAGCAGGTCTAGGCCGTACAGTTTGTAATATTATTATCAAAGAGCCAGCATTAATCCATCATAAGCTAAGCACTTAGTAAAGTTACAGTGGCAAGACAAAACTGCCAACAGGCAGAAACCTCGAGCAGAACCAGACTCATGTCGAACAACCATCTGCAGAAACTGTGTTGGGGTTGTGAGGGAATAGAGGAAGATGCAGGATTTTAACAACTATTAAGGGTATTTTTTGTTTTTGTTTCTATGAATGTTTTGTGGAGATGTCCAATCAGTGTAGGTTTATAATGTAGTCCATTAAAAACAATACATTCCTCAGAGTGTGATAAACTGGCCAAAATATTTCTTAACCACATAATTAAAGGTGACATATTATGCAAAATACGCTTTGCCATGTTTTTTTCTAACACCTATGTTTCCCTAGTCGGTCTACAGACCGCCAATCATAAGAATAGCCCATCCTCACCATCTTTTGCCTTCTCCATTTTTCAGAAATTGCTCAAACAGGCTGTTTGGAGGTTTTCCCTTTTTGACATCACAAAGGGCAGTAACCCCCCAGGTGGGGGGGAGGTGTTTCTGCAGGTGCAGCTAGGTGTTCGTTCTGTCCTCTGAGTCTGTCTTCTCATCATAAACAAATGGGCACAGTACAATAAAGCTCAACCCATCCAAACCCCTCCAGAGGGGTGTGGTCATACACAGCTCATTTACATTTAAAGCTACAGACACAGAAACAGCCTGTTCTGAGCAGGGCTGAAATAGAGGGGTTTATAGGCATGATCAAATACATGATCAGAGTGGATTTAGAACAAGAAACTTAACAGACATGTTTTGGAGAGCTTTGAAACTTATATTAACTTGTTGAAAAGGAGAATAATATGTGACCTTTAGGAAATATGTAACGTTGAGGTTGTCATTAAGTTTTGACATCCGACATAATTGTCTCTGAAGATAGCGGTCATAGCAGAGTGTTGGTTTGGTAACACCATCAGTGAATGCCCTGAGCAAGGTCTTTCAATATTTGATTATCCTTTGCCAATAACCTCCTGTGAAGCCTCAGACATTCAGCAGTGTTTCTGTATTCAATCCAGTGTATTTACTGTATGGAAACCAGTGCAACAAATAAAAACAGGAAACCTTTCATAGGACATATATTAAGAATTTTAATCTATCGTAGTGAAATGTTAAGGTGTACATACAAATGTTTCCTTTACAAAAGTTCACAGCCACAACAAAATGGTTCAACCAGCTGAAGCAAGGCACCTTTATAGGACCTTTTTTTTTTTTTCAACAGCTATAACTTAAACATAGAGTACATCTTTGGCACCAGAAAACAATACGAATACAGTATATAAATGAAAAAACACAAACAGAATATATTAACTTCTCTCACTTCAAACAGCCATTCATGTAAACACATTCTGAAAAGAGTGAAGGGGCGTTACAACAAAGGACACACCGCATTGACCAGCAAATGCATTGTGGCGGGAAATATGATGGGAAGCTTCAGGGTAATACCAGTCACTTTCATTTCATGTGATATCAGTTAGACTTGACGCAGATACTCCTGTGGTAATGTTGTCGAGATGGAATCCAACAATTCAGAACTGCAGGACAATATATTAGCTTTCTTTTTTCTTCTTCTTTTTTTTGGGAGTTTTTTCCCCTCTAAAGAAATCTGAATAATGACACATTCCAGTTAAATATAAAACACAGTCCTGGAAAACAGGAGTCTACATTCAGCATTGTTCAGTGATCCCGCACCATGAAGGGGGAAATAAATAGAAAAATTCTGTGTAAGTCCTCTCAGATATGTAAGATACTTGAGCAATGGAGAAAACATGGCTGAATATAACACAGTGATGGGAACGAAAAATAGAGGAGCAAATGCAGGCCAATTATAGTTGACCGTTTCTGTGCTCGTGGTGGAACCAGCCACCACGGCACAGAAGAAATAACCAGCCCGAGAAAAGGAATCATGTGGAGAATGTGTGCCATTTTAACAAGGGCGAGGGGTCAGACTTTAGATAGCCTTTTTTTCTTTAACGGGAGCATTCCCTCAGTGAGGGGAATGTGAGAAGATTAGCTCCAGCGTGTCAACGGAGGGGAGAGAAATGTTGGGCAGCCGCCATGTGAGGCCCCCAAACATTAACCTGGGATATGGAAAATTAGACCTCCGCGAAATGCTGTCAATCCTCGCAGGCTTTTTTAAGAGAGAAACGAGCAGAGGTTCTGCAGGCTCCGCATTCAAAGGAAGTTTCCAAATCCTCCACTGAGCTGTGAGCAGGGGCCCGAATGTATTTTTAAGAGAGAAGCAACTGTTCATTTAAGTTTGAGTTGTTCTGTTAAACAGAGTAATCCTCAAACACTGCATGGAGACACGGGAAGGATGCTTACACCGAGTCATTTTATAAATATTCCCATTAATCTCGAAGGGAAGGGTAATAGGATCGCTACTGGAGATTTAAAATAATCCAAAAAAAACACAGATATGTTGGGAACTGAATCCAGAAAAGTGACTACATTAGTTTATAATTTAAATGGAGCAGAGCAGGACAAATGATCCTTGTTCATCTTACATCTCAAACAACAAACAACATCACAATATGAGCAGCACTTAATAATATAAATATAAATAAAATACATAAAAAAGTGACACGCACAACATATGCACAACCTGTCCATTTCCTATCAACACACACAACACTGTCCGGGTACCTTGAAGAATTCTGACTCGTGAGTCAATTGCACAGTTGAAGTAGAGCTCAGCTCTCCCCTTGATACTGCGACTCATGCTGGACTCTGCATGTTCATTTACTTTGACGACAGACGGTCAGTCGTTCGTTACTTGTAGCCAGACGTCACGAAGGCCTTTTAACAACTCGGGCCGAGAGTCTCTGTCATCACTCCCTCGTATCGGCTGCAGTGAGCACTCAAATGAGGATTTCAACCACCTCCGCGTCTGAGCTGTTGATGCTCTTGAATGTCTTGAGTGCTGCCTTTGGCTCCTCCGAGGCGTCTGCAGTGGAGATAAAATTAGCAGATTAGAAAAACAACTTTGGTATGCTAAAGCAAACACAACTGCAAGAGCTGCTGTGTGCAAAGCTGCACAAGACCACTGGTTTGATTTCAACATCAAAGTTTTAAGCCATCAACAGTCCATAAAGCTTTGTTTTAACTCGAGGAAAAGTCCCACTGTAGGAACATTTGTGAGTTTTCTCATATATGTGCTTGTTTTTTCAATGGAGTTCTTAGTTGACAAATCTGATGCAACCTCAGGACATCAGGATAATGTCAACACTAGGCGTTTGAAACACAGTGTCACATGGATGTATTGCTCTAATTGGAGATAAAAAACAACCTCTGCTTACATGCAAGTGATTTCCATTTCTTTTTGTCTTTAAAATATTTTTTCTGCAGTGGTATTGCAAATAAAAGTTTTGAATTTGGTCTGAACATCTCTTGAAGCCTGTCTTGATCTGGGGGACTTTAAACAATTGTCATAATACTCAGGGTGTAGGGGGCCTACTGATAAGAATAAGCCATAGTTAGTGCAGAGGTTCTGATTTGGTGTCCAATACTTCACAAAACAATTCACTTACTCGTCGTAGTTGATGGAATAACTTCAGGTGTCTTTAGCTTGCTAGGCTCTGCTGTGGACTCGTCACTTTGGGTGCTGGAGTCTCGACTCGGGCGCTTGGGCACCCCCAGGGATTGGATTTGCAGAGCAGGAGCACCTGTCTGGTCATCTGAGAGGCTCTTTCCTACGAACAGAGACAAAAGAAGGAGGCTGCTTAATAACATTCACAGTTACACACTCCTGAACATCTGCCCTGCTGAGTTCTTCCCATGACTATTCTGGATCGGGCTATTCTGGAGTGAGAGACGATATGCATTCCAGTTTAAAAACATGTTGTCTATTTGAGGGACACGAAAGGGTTTGTCATCTACTTTCAACTTTTTTTTAGGAAGTGCACATTCTGTCTGGCGGCGCTCTCCAGTCTGCCAGTTGTCACTTCATAGCATGTGTCAGTATGGATTGAGGATTGCTTGTAGTGAGGGAAACATCTTGTTCTCACCTTTACTCTCCGTGCTGCCCGCCACAGTGTGGATGGAGGGGACGGACCTGGCAAGACGAAGCCTGCCCTGTTCCCATCTAGAGCGCTGCTGGAGGACTTTGATCACAGCATCCTTCTCCAGGAGCTGAGCATGGAGCGCACGAATCCTAAACACATTGAATATAAAGTTAGATCACACTCCCAAGAAAATTTAAAAAAGAATGTAACAATGATGCAGATATGTATGTTCCTATGTATACCTTTTCTCCATCTCCTGATGTCTTTGACTAGACAAAGGCAGGTCTTCATTAAAGCTGTTGTTGGGTGAATGCCGAGGGGAATGATTTATGATGGTTGTATCCCTGCAAAGAAAAAAGAAGACTGTTAAAAAACTTCACTAAAATAGTAATTTTGAGATTTGTTGTAACTATATGTTTTTCAAGTTTTATCATACCTCTGTGCTGCAGCAGTTGCAGCTGCATCCATTGCAAACTGCCTCATGGTGCTCTCCTCCAGGTACTTCTGCTCCCACTTAGTGATGTCCGCCTCCAGAGCCAGAATACGCTCCTCTTTCTCCCTCAGCTGCTGCTGCTGCAACGTGGACGAGCTCAGTTCTGAAGCTGAAGAGTAGGCTGCCTGGTTCTGAAACTGAAATAACAGACAACAGATATCATTTTTTAGCACTTACAGTTAACACAGATCTTTTATTTCAATACACTATTTGACATTTAGGGAAACTGCTGTCTTTTCACTTTAACATCAGAACTCTATGAAGCTACACTGAAGTAGCTTATAGCTTTGTTTAGCATTGAGCCTGAGCCAAAGTGGGAATTCTTTTTTTTTTTTTTATATTCTTGGGCTTTTCGTGCCTGCATTGTAGAGAGAGGGCAGTGGATAGAATCAGAAATCGGGAAGAGAGAGACTACGTACTTTATGTAAGGTAGCCTGAACATGCTTCAAAAATGAAGTGACTGTAAGAACTTTTCTCCTTACCTGTTGTGCTCTGAGGCTTTTCAGCTCCTGCTCCAGTCTTGTGCGCAGCCGCAGCTCGAGCGCTTCTCTCTTCTCGCACGCCGCCTGCAGCTGAGCCAGCGCACTCTGCAGCCGCTCCACTTTCTCCACATAGGCTCTCTTCCGCTGCAGCTCTTCCTCCAACTGCCTGTTTCTGGCTTGAGTCGTGGCCAGAGCCTGCTCGAGAATCTCCCGTCTCCTCTGGCTCTCCTCCCCGGAGACACGCAGGTGCTGTATCTGACACTCCAGCTGTTCACGCTCCCTCTGCTGCTCTTCGTCTGAGATACAGAAAGAGGAAAAAGAGGCTTTTAGGTTATTTTCTCAAGTTGTGGGACAAAAGCAGAAATGCAGCATAGGCCAAATGAATACAAAAGAAGAGTAAACTCCATGTAGAGTTTCTCAGCAGCTGTTGATAAGATCATTTAGTGGTTGAATCGGCTCAAGGTGTGATATTTTAAAAGGAATGTGTCCCAACAAGGGACATTCACACACTGCCGTCAGGACATGAGGCTCAACAAAACTGAAACGTGAATCAAAGTTTCAACCAGTTTTTTACACATTGAACTTCCTATCAGCAATAAATGTAATATTTTTCCTTCACTTATTAAAAGTTTGATGATGTTTTACTAAAGTGTTTCAGAAGCAAAATCCAGTTTGTCTGTTGCGCTACTTTCAAAAGGAGGTTGATTACACAACACGCCTGCATGCCTGTGGAGGGAATGCAGACTTCCTCTTATCCACTTACGCACACAAGCATTGCCTTGTACTGGGAAAAGCTCAGGAATGCTTCTAAGGACGAGAAGTAAACAAGAAGCTCAAAATATAACTCAAGTGGCCCTAGAAGACAAAAAAAAAACAACCTTCACATCCACCTATTGTAATTAAAAAATGAGGTTTTTGCTTCTGTTGCTCCATGATTACTGTTTGCAGGAACATTAAACAGACACTATTTCTGATAGTTTGGTTTAGGACGATAACATTCCTGCATAAAACAGTGACGAGTGGAAGAAATAATCACTTCTGGATCATGATTGAACCATGCAGTAAAAAAAAAAATCCCAAACATGGTGAGTGAGACGGCAAAGGTCATGTTGAGTCAGGCCTGGATGCCCTGGAGTCCCAGACTTATTAGTTCCCCTCAAGGAGGGAAGTCAGCAGTGATGCAAAACTGAGCTGAAGGGGAGGAGAGAGATGGAGGGAGGCATTCCTACTGCTGGAACAGCCTGAAATACTGAAAAAATTCCTGGAATCCAGGCCACATTTACTGCAGCTATGAAAAATGGCTGGCGTCTCAGTAAGTGCCCAGAGTGACTCTTCACGTTACAGATAGAGCCATTTGTGTCCTGACATGTGAGGACAGCTTTTATAACCCGCCACATCACTGACAGAGGAAACCAATCCCTGCTTAACTATGTTCCTGACATTGTCTGACGCTTCATAGCGAAGCAAAATTTGTCAAATCAGTAAAAATCCGCCTTGAATCGTGCAAAGAGAAGACAGCTTTTCAAATAAAGACTGATGCAGATTTAAACTCACTTTGCTCGAGCAGTTTAACAAAGACTTGCTGTCTCTGGTCTGAACACTCAGCCTCCTTGGCAGTTCGCTGTCTGGTGGCTGTCTCAAGTTGTTCTGTGCGGAGGATGACAAACACAACATGATGGTTAAAACACAGTACAAAGCAGACTGTAGTTCACCAGGAAGGATTTGGTCCAACACATACCTCTCAGGTCTCTGTTAAAGTCGTGCATCCTCTTAATCTCGGCCTCTAGCTTATTCCTCATTGTTTTCTCCAGCGTCTCCCGCTTTGCAGATCCTTTCATCAAAGTCTCATACGCTTCAGAAATCCTTTGAATCTCCAACTCCAACTGGGGGGGGAAAAACGTGTGAGAAGATGATTAATCTCTGGGAAAAAAGCAACCACAGTCATTGTCTGCACTGTGGTTTAGTTTTCAGCTGTTAATATCAATGAGGCTAATTAGTCATCTCTGCATTTCTTTTCTACTGCCTGCAGGCTAATGGCTCATACCACTGAGCACAAGAGAATAGTTAGAATGAACATTCCTAAGTGAACACTTGTGGGTCCCAGGTGTTGAAGCATGTATCTACTTTGTGGCAATATGCCAGCATGTTGAAAGACAAAGGGGTGGGGTTGGAAAGATTTGACTGAGGTGAAAACTCTCCACACATCAAATTAAAACTTGTAAATACAACCACCGATGTGTAACTTTTATTGATTCAAGTCACCATCTCCTTGAATTGAACCATCGGCTCCACTCGTTTCTCACCTTCTGCAGCCGAGCGGCCTTCTCTGCGTAGACCTCCAGCTCCTGCCTGAGCCGCTCGTTCTCCCGCATCAACGCATCAGTCTGAGCTGAGTTACTGCTGGAGGCTGGGATTGTGTTGCCGTTGTTGTGAGCCACCTGGGACTGAGCAGACACGTACCTGCTGAGGGGAGACAAGAGTAACCATTACACCACGAGGTGAGGGTAATACTGAATGAAAGCATCATCTGATTTCATTACTTCATCATTTACCTGTGATGCTGAGCGTAAAAGGGTGGAGGAGGGTCTCTGTAGTACTGTACATGCTCCTGCGAGTGGCTCAGCATATATCCAGGAAGTCTGGCAAAGACAGGATAGTCCGGGGGCGGCGCTCGCTGGTCCACACTCTGATGGATCCCTTCATGACTCACAGAGTTTGTTACATTATCGCTGTACAGCTGTGGATAACTGCGTGAGGAGCTCATAGCTGCACTCTGTCGGGCTCCGTTCCTCTCCAAAGAAAGCTGCATGAGCCTCTCACTGAGGGAGCGAGCGTGCTCCCTCTTCAGATCCCACTGTCCCTCACTGTGTCCCCCCATAATGTCCATGCTGGGGGCCTCCTGCTCGGCCTGCTGGGAGATCAGGTACTGTGAGTGGGCTTTGGCCTCCTCGTATGTGGGCAGCTCCTCTCCATGGAGCTGGTACAGATGGCACACCTGGCTCTCAGAGTGCAGACCATCCCCGTGGTGCTCCTGGCCCTGAGGCTCCTGCCGTGCGGACATTTGCATGTACTGAGACTCGTCCTGAGTCAGGCTCTCCAGAGAGGAGCGAGGACTCCCGGCGCTTCCGCCACCACTGCTGCCTCCACCGCGCAGGGCCTGCTGCTGGATGGCCAGGAGTGTGCGAGTGTCCGTCAGGTTCCCGTAACGGAGCTGCTCCTGAATAAGCCGGTGTAGGACCGTTCCAGATGAGTCCTCAGCGGTTCTCATTTCAATAAACTGGATATTAGTTCAGAAACAGCCGACGAGAGAAGTCTGAGAGATAGACGAGTCAGATATCTGATGGAAACAAAAGGATCAGACTTAGCATTGCACAAAAATGTAAAAGTACTTCTTCCCCTCAAGCAATTTATCAACACTTTTGTTGAACGACATTGTTATGAGCTATTGCTGGAAATACCCCAGTCAGTGATGTCAGAGCAGATCAAGTTTTATTGCCCACACACTCCTAAGCACAACTTTCACAGAGTCAGACAGGAGTGTGATACTCTACAGATGCATAACAGACTTGATTAAATATAATATATAGAATATGATCAATTCCTATAAAGAGACTGAATGGTCCCACAAATGCTATATGTATTATTTATGAATCATTGCCTTTTATTGTACCTTGTTGATTGCTGATAGCTTAATGTAGAAATGTCTCATCTATCTACTTAAACTGAAAATCAGTTTGGGTCAACTCCTGTTGTTTTTAAATGTGTTAGGCTATTAAAAAAAAGTGATCTGACTTGACTTGGTAAACCCAAACAACAACAAATAGACTGAAATCCCTGCATAGTTTAGATAAATGATGAAGCACTGCACAAAATACGATTTTTTTTAGCAAACGCACACCAACATGTGTAAAGTCTGTTGATAAAAAAACGCTTCTCTTCTAGTTCCTACCGGTTCAAAATATATTAAAACCATACAGAGTCTTTAAGTTCATAAGATTTAAATTAATAAACTGAACTGCTAATTTTGGATAAAGGCATCCAAATTAGCGTGCGTAAAAGTCACACTACATCAAAAGAATAAACCTTAAATACAACTAGAAGCACATTTAGAAGCTGCATTGTTTCTCACACATTCACATTCACAACGTGCCAGTCGGACGTCTTCAGGCATCCAAACACAGTCACGAGAGAGAGAAAAACCATCTAAAACAAAAAGCAGAACTTACCCAGATAACCTCTCGTCATTACACAAAACAACAGCAAACGTAACTCGACGTATTCGTTCAGTTTTCTGCGCTTAATTCAGCAAAGTTAGTCCACAAATCTCCCCGTGTTTCTTCCTCCTCTTGATCTCCTCCATGTAAAACTGTCCGCAGCAGACTGAGCCGAGCGGAGCGCGACCCGCACCAATAAATAACTGAGAGCTGATTGTTCGCTGCGGCTGGAATGAGAGGAATGTAAAGGCTGCAAGTCCCTGTGGGATCAAAAGCAGAGCACAGGGGGAGGAGGAGGGGACGCAGAGAGGGGAGGAGGAGGAGGGAGAGAGAGAGGGGAGGGAGAGGGGGAGGAAGAGGGGGAGGGAGCGAGAAAAAATTGGATTGAGAGCAGCAGCACTCAGCTCAGCTGGCTGGCTGTGTCATGGAAAGAGGTGTTTTTTTTGTTTTCACTGTTTTGTAGGATTTTAAAGCCTTTAAAGAAAGATAGATATTTCACAAGTTTTAGGAATATCATAGGAATGATATTGTGAAGCTACAGGAGGTTAAATCCTTTTTTTTTTTTGCTAAGTACATTTACACAATGAATTTGACTTTGTGTTTTGGTGCAAAACAATTAGCAAATAAATAGAGCAGAAATAGTAATCTATTACTAGCGTTTAAAATGAATGCAGCTGCTGACAGGGAATTCCAGAGTTAGATAAATACGTATAGCTATATAAGTAATAAAAAAATACATGACAGGATATAAACAACACAAAATGACAAAAAGGTGCAAAAGGGAGGTGTAGATTCGTATGTGCATGCAAATAACGGTTCAGTGTAATGTGTTTAGGAATATCAAATATCATTGAACAGAATATGAAAGATTGTTTTTAGAAAGCTCTGCTTGTTGGGCAAAATGCTGTTAATCTTTGTTCGTTTTGTTTTGTAGTAATGTTTCTATGTTGTTGTTTGTTGTGTATTGTGTTTTTTGGTCCTTGTAATTATTATTATCATTTTTTAAATAAACAAAAGAAAAATAAAATAAAATAAAATAAAAGTCCAATGTGCGTTAATGTAACAAAGATCTAACAATGCGGTAAAACATCACATCCTTATTGAAATGAAGTTATGCTATTATTACTCCGAGAATGTAATGTGAAGAAATATGACCAGAAGAAATAATGACAGAGAAGATGAGGGAGAATTTTCAGCCAAAAAACCAAACATTTCACAATGAGAATGTGTTTAAAAAGTAAGATTTTCTCACTACTAAGTCTATGTGTTTTCACCTACTGAATAAAAAGAAGTGCCGGTAACACTTGATAATATAATGTTGTAATTTTTAAGTGTCTAAAAGGTGAGAAAATGGAGAAAATGCTAATCTTGTGTTCCTAGAATCTTCAGTTTCTCTATTGCAACTCAAACTGACAGTCAGATTTTTGTGAATATGAGAAAATAAGCCACATCTCAAATGTAAAACTCAAAACAAAGGAAATGTGACATCATACCATCATAACTGCTCCAGTTATAGTTTTGGTATTCTTGGTATTAAATATTATCTTTAAAGACTATTTCAAAGATGACTGTCTGCACAAAACATAATGTTGTTTTGCCTTTAATTTTCACCTTACAGTTCACGAGTGCTTTGATAGTGTAGAAAAATATAGAAGATGGGTTTTAAAATCATCAACTTTTAAAAGTAAACAGATATCAGGACATTATAGACATATATGAGTGAATAACAAATATCATAAGAAAGGACATTTGATGACTATTGCACTAAGATGTTAATATATTTTGCGCTTTTAAAGATGAAATGTATTTAATTTCAAAATTAAAGATTTTCTGCCTTACATGACGGAAACTACAGAAATGAAATAAGTGCAATAATTGAGACACAGATTAATCGTTATTTTTCGTGGACAGCCTTTTGTCTGCATGTGCCTGGTAAATATTTAAGCCATGGCCCGTGCCAGTTAATTGCAGAGTGTGTGTGTCTGTGTGTGGACACGAAGGGAGGAGGTGAGGGGGGGGTTGAGGCACACTGCCTGCCAGCTGTCCGTGGACTGAAATCCCCTTCCCCTCCTTTAATAAGAGCTCTGAGAGATGCATTGTTCTCCCCCAAAAAAGCAGACATGATGGGGGCAGCCCTGCCATCTGCTGGTTCTCCCCTCCACCACTAGCACCAGACACACACATGCACACACACAAACACACGCACACGTACACATGCATGTAGATGGGATCAGCTGGCAGTGGGGGTTGAGTTTTTTTTGTTTTGTCACTGAGTGCAGCTTTTTTTTTGTTTTGCATGAAAAGGATCATCTCATGTGCTGCTGGAGGTTGTGGGGTGTAAACAAGTCTGTTCTTGTAAGGGCTGCACATTCATTCAGCAGACACACTGCAGGTGACTTTATCTCACACACTCGCAGGCAAACGTCCACCTGTTCATTTGCATGGCAGTTTAAGTCCAACGGTGACTGAGGAATGCTGATTACACCTTTAACAACTGATAACAATCTGCAGTTTTTGCCTTTTTGTAATTCCGCTTGCTTGACATGATAAGAGGGAACACCAAACATTCTGTTTTTATCTTGATTTTATAATATACAGAGCTGTAGCAAGAAAACGGACAACATACCACCCTTTAACATGCAATTTCATCTTTTTAAAGCCCCTGTGAGAAGTTTTAAACTGTTCATGAAAAATACAGACAAATACTCACAGCTCTATGTGACCTACAAAAGCAAACCAGAATATCATCCACAACATTGACTATTTGTAATTTTAAAGATCTGTTACCGCTGTCGGGGGTGGGTAGGTGTCACATGAGATAGTTAATGGCATGCTACAGTCTTTTTAAACGTATCCCACATCAAATATTTACAACCAACGATATTTTTTACATTTAAAAAAAAAAAGAAGCAGAAAGGGGCGCTAGTGGTGCAGTGGTTAGTGTGCGCGCTCCATGTATGGAGGCCATGCTCCTCCAAGCGGGTAGCCCAGGTTCAAATCCAGCCTGTGGCTCCTTTCACGCATGTCAGTCCTCTCTCTCTCTCTCTCTCTCTCTCTCTCTCTCTCTCTCTCCTGATTTCCAGCTCTATCCACTGTCCTGTCTCTCCATTAAAGGCACAAAAAGCCCAAAAATAAATTTTAGGAAAAAAAAAGCAGAAAGACTACTTACACAAGTGAGTTCCTCAGGGGAGCTTTAAAACAAGATACAAATGGTTTGCTATTTGTCTGCAGGCGACTTACGTTTATTGTCGGACAGGTTTTTTGGCCAGTATAACACATCAAGGAATTTATTGCTTCAGGCATTAATAATCGACAATGACTGGAAACCCCCCACAAAAAAGGCAAAAATCCACTTTAACTTTAAAATGTAGATGATCTAAACTAAACTGTCGGTTGACTCTATACTGCAAAGAAAGATCAAAGAAATGTTACGACTTATAGCACGCGCCTGAAACAGCCTTTGTTGTTTTTAACCTTTTCGACATCAGATAATGAGTAAACATTTTTTCTATTCATTCATCATACGTAATACAATCACTTTTAAACAATATAGACAGTTTACACAAAGTCAACAGACAGATGTATTGAGTTGTGACTGAACAGGACAGGCAGAAGTAAACTGTCTTTAAAAGCCTATCCTACACTCTTATCCAATTAAGCGACCAGAAGTGTAAAGAAAACAACAACAGATGAATCATTCAGACTCTTAAGCCTCAAAAAGAGCTTTAGGAAACATTTTCTTTAAACCAAAGTGAATTAAAGGTTTTTACATGTATATTGGCATCATTCTATAATTTAACCCCAACAATAGTCACCTCTCCTTTTAAGCTTTGTGTATAGTAAAGCCTGATGTTTGTTTTTGTCTTTGTCTACACTAGGTTTTCTTATAGCAATTTGTTTTTAAACTTAAAATCCCAGTACAATTTTTTCCAACACCATTGCCCTGTTTTTATGTTAATGTATACAACATCATCCCACTATTACTGTCTGAATAATCATACATCCATTTCTGAGGAGACAGGGAGACACATAAAGCGCAACGTGACTTATTTAATAGAAGAACATGCGACTTTTTGATCCAATAGATGTCGCCCTCGAGCACCAGCATAAAACCAAAACAAACTGCTGTTTGGCGACACCTCCGCTATTCTGAAGCCTTCGCTCTCCTCGCACAAAGCAGTTATGAATTAGAACGCACCATAATTAAGCACCATAAGAGCAAGCGGCGGACAACATTGTCCTGGGCTTTAACTGCAATTTCCTGTGGTCTGCATTGTTGTGTTAGGATGCTAATGTCAGCACACTTTGGTTAACTCGTAGCTTCATATTTCACATAAATTAACACAGAATGACAGTGATCAAAAGACACTTACGTGACATCAAAATAAGCAATGAGTATGTTATGGCATTCTTCTTCCTCAAGTTCTTGACTAAAACAGTTTTATATGCAATGCCGTCCCGTCCATGTAAACACGGCTTGACAACTGTACAGCTGGAGGGACTCACGCTTCTCACTCATCGTAGACAGTCTTGAATCAGAGAGACATTTACAGAGGATATACTTGATTTATGCTGTACTTATGTGTAAAATATCACACTCTTTCTTTAAGGTGGAAACAACTATGAAAATATGAAAAAAAAGAACTGAAAATCATACAAAAGAAAAATACAATTTCATAAGGGGTGTCATAAGTGATGCATTTCTAGAGTAGCCGATCAAGTGTTGCGAAAGTCAAAGTGTTATTTCTGTCTCGCACTGACAACACATTTATGATTCTTTTTAGTGTCCACACCTGCTTTATAGTCAAACACCTGAACAGATTGATTCTGTTCACTGGAAATGCAGTTTCATTTAATGAGAACCCACATATCTCAAGTAGAACCATCCCACACTGAACAACTATGAATAACTGACTCATTTCCTGTTCTGTCAACACTTGAGACGACAACGTAAGAAGAGAAAATTGCAAATGCCTCGCAAACAGACAACAAAAAAAATGCTGTAGTGACCATTCATCATTCCTTGTTTCCTGTCGTGCCTCACTTGTTGTTTATGTTTCAAGCCAATGAAGCCAATGCAGAAGTTGCAAAAAAAACTGCAGTTCCATGAGTGTCCACCTGAAGCTTGCGCCAAAAGACCTGGAAGTCCTGTTCATACCCCAAAATATAATGTGTGTTCTGACAAACACTGTTACATCCTGGTTCACTTTGGTCTGATTGTTTAATGTCTCTATTTAG